CTGTGTTGGCTCTCGGCGTGGGATGCTGCCGCAGATGCTGGGGTGAGAGAGGTGTGGGACACGGCTAGCTGAAGGGAATTCCCAGGGAAGACACTTCCGTCTCAAGATTCACAGGTACCATCTCTTGCTGCTCGACACACCCACTACAAGGTGGGCATGAAGAGAAAATAGGTTTGTTGTTCTTTCCGCACTACACAAGCATGAAGCATCCCAGGGCTCTTGCCGCAAGGGATGAGTTCAGTCCAGTATCACTGGCCAAAATGTCTCTCCTTGCTGTGCACCCCCGCCCTCCCTGGCTGATGGCCTCCAGCCCTGAGGTGGCTGCATTTCAGTGGCCCAGGGGATCCTTCACGATGAAAGGTGTTAGTAGATGTTCAATACAAACCAGATTCTGAGGCTGCGCGGAGGCAAAGTTCCCCTTGGAGAAAGACCTGAGTAAAGACCTTCGGAGCCAGCTGAGTGTTAATACACAGAGACTGTCACCTCCTCCTCTTACCTGACTTTTATCGGCTGGAAAGCATGGAGGTGCTAGGGCTCCCCACTGGAACATAAATGCCTGATTGACTTTCTTTATCGATAAGTTTATAGGGATCAGACTCAGAGGGGATTATTAGATCATCCCATCTGACAAACTGTATAACACAGGGCATTGAGTTTCCCCTAGTTACCCCAGTATTGAGCCCAATGAGTTGTGTGAGACTAAGATCTGCGGTAGACTAGGATTTTCCACCATTGAATCATAGAGGCACAGGCTGAGAAGGGACCACAAGTTTAACCCCCTGCCAAGATGCAGGATTTGTTGCGTCTAAACCATTCAAGACAGATAACTATCCAGCCTTCTTTGGAAAACCTCCAACAAAGGAGCTTCCACAAACTCCCGAGGCTTCTGCTCCACTGTCCTTCTGTTCGGGCAGTTAGAAAGGTTTTCCTGAAATTTCATCTAAACCTGCTATGCTGGCATTGGAAGCCATTGACTCTTTTCCTGTCCTCTCTGGTAGAACGATAGAATCATGGAAGATTAGGCTTCGAACAGTCTCAGGAGGTGAACTAGTCCAACCCCCTGCTCAAAGCCGGACCCATCCCCAACTAAATCATCCCAGCCAGGGCTTTGTGAAGCTGGGCCTTGAAAACCTCTAAGGAATGAAATTCCACCACCTCCCTAGGTAATGCATTCCAGTGTTTCACCACCCTCCTAGTCAAATAGTCTTTCCTAATATCCAACCTAGACGTCCCCCACTGCAACTTGAGACCATCGCTTCTTGTTCTGTCATCTGCTACCACTGAGAACAGCCGAGCTCCATCCTCTTTGGAACCCCCTTTCAGGTAGTTGAAAGCTGCTATCAAATTCCCCCTCATTCTTCTCTTCTGCAGACTAAACAATCCCAGCTCCCTCAGCCTCTCCTCATAAGTCATGTGCCCCAGCCCCCTTATAATTTTTGTTCCTCTGCGCTGGACCCTTTCCAATTTGTCCACATTCTTTCTGTAGTGGGGGACCCAAAACTGGATGCAGTACTCCAGGTGTGGTCTCACCAGTGCTGAATAGAGGGGAACGATCACGTCCCTCGATCTGCTGGCAATGCCCCTACTAATACAGCCCAAAATGCCATTGGCCTTCTTGGCAACAAGGGCACACTGCTGACTCATATCCAGCTTCTCGTCCACTGTCACCCCTAGGTCCTTTTCTGCAGAACTGCTGCCGAGCCACTCGGTCCCTAGTCTGTAGCAGTGCATTGGGTTCTTCTGTCCTAAGTGCAGGACCCTGCACTTATCCTTATTGAACCTCATCAGATTTCTTTTAGCCCCAATCCTCCAATTTGTCTAGGTCACTCTGGACCCTATCCCGACCCTCCAGTGTATCTACCTCTCCCCATAGTTTAGTGTCATCTGCAAATTTGCTGAAGGGGTAATCCACGCCATCCTCCAGATCATTAATGAAGATGTTGAACAAAACCACCCCCCGGACTGATCCCTGGGGCACTGTGCTTGACACCGGTTGCCAGCTAGACGTCAACCCTTTGATCACTGTCCGTTGAGCATGACAATTTAGCCAGCTTTCTATCCATCTTATAGTCCATTCATCCAATCCATACTTTCTAAAATTTCTGGCAAGAATAGTGTTAGAGACCATATCAAAAACTTTGCTAAAGTCAAGATAAATCACGTCCACTGTTTTCTCCATATCCACAGAGCCAGCTGGGCTTTCCTCTGTAATTCTCTGCTGTAGTAGAGAGCCCATTCTTACCCATGGATTTCTCCCCATGAGAGTCTCCGTTTGACCATCCTTTTGATCAGATAAATAGATGAAGCTCTTTAAGTCTCTCACTATCTGGCATTTTCTGCAGCCTCCAATCCTTTTTTTGGCTCTTTTCTGCACCCTCCTGATTTTTCAGTCTCCTTTTTGAGATGTGGACCCCACAACTGGACGCAGCCAGTTTCACCAAGGCCATGTGCAGAGGTACAATCCTTCCATCGCTTCAGTTCACCACTCCCCCATTTATACATCCCAGGATCGCATCAGTCCTTTTGGCCACAGCATCACACTTGGAGCTCACGGTGAGATGGTTGTTCACCGTGACCTCTAAATCCTTTTCAGGGTCCTTGCGTTGCATAATACAGTGATCTACTCTGTTGGTCAGGCCTGGGTTCTTTCCTAATGCAGAACAGAACTATTTCTACCAATGTCTCCATTGTTCCTTATCAATGTTCATAACTTCCGACTGATATTGATTGCTATCTGTTTTTTCCTTTTTCCCATTTGTTATATATTGCTTCCCCCACCCCACACCCAACCAATTGCCGACTTGATTTTGTCACTGAACTGGGTTTTTAACCAAAGCTGTTCACTTTCTTGACTGTAGAATTGTGTCTTTTTAGCTATTTAATAAACTCTTCTTAACAGATTCCCGGTTTTCACTGCCATTTTTCTGTCTAAAGTTTTGTTCCCAATCAGTTTTTTCTCATAATTTCCATCAGCTCTGGGGAATTAGCTCCTCTGCAGCACTAAGTATCTTGAGAGATTACTGTGTGGGAACTGTTCTCTGTTTCTCCATTGGAATGTAATCAGCTGCAATCTTTAATCTTGTTCTCCTCTATCATCTGACCCCTTCTTAGTCTCTCTTCTAAACTAAAGAGTTCCAGACTTTTCAGTCTGTCCACCTCTGGCAGCCTCCCCCATTCTCAGCCTGTCTGGGAAACCTCCTTTCTAACTGCTATGTGCTTATAGAGACTGGGTGACCAAAGTGAGCACATGTGCAGAGCAGGTTATTCTCTGTGCCATTCCTTAGACATCTGAACATTGTCTTTATTTGGGCCATTTCTGCGACTGAGCAGGTGTTTGTCAATGACACCGAGGGATTTTCCCTGTGGTGTGTTCTAATTGGGATGTTTTCCCTGGTCTACGTTTTGGGAAAGGTTTGGTGTTTTTTGCACTCTGACATTTTGAGTAACTGGGTATATGGGGAACGGACCTGTCAAGGTTCCTCCCCCACTCTGAATGTTAGGGTACAGATGTGGGGACCTGCATGAAAACCTCCTAAGCTTATCTTTACCAGCTTAGGTCAAAAACTTCCCCAAGGTACAAAATATTCCACCCTTTGTCCTTGGATTGGCCGCTACCACCACCAAACAAATACTGGTTACTGGGGAAGAGCTGTTTGGAAACGTCTTTCCCCCCAAAATACTTCCCAAAACCTTGCACCCCACTTCCTGGACAAGGTTTGGTAAAAAGCCTCACCAATTTGCCGAGGTGACTACAGACCCAGACCCTTGGATCTTAAGAACAATGAACAATCCTCCCAACACTTGCACCCCCGCTTTCCTGGGAAATGTTGGATAAAAAGCCTCACCAATTTGCATAGGTGACCACAGACCCAAACCCTTGGATCTGAGAACAATGAAAAAGCATTCAGTTTTCTTACAAGAAGACTTTTAATAGAAATAGGAATAAATAGAAGTAAAGAAATCCCCTCTGTAAAATCAGGATGGTAGATATCTTACAGGGTAATTAGATTCAAAACATAGAGAATCCCTCTAGGCAAAACCTTAAGTTACAAAAAAGATACACAGACAGAATTAGTTATTCTATTCAGCACAATTCTTTTCTCAGCCATTTAAAGAAATCATAATCTAACACATACCTAGCTAGATTACTTACTAAAAGTTCTAAAAAGAACAGGAGGACTTGTGGCACCTTAGAGACTAACCAATTTATTTGAGCATGAGCTTTCGTGAGCTACAGCTCACTTCATACAGTCCACTTTATGCATCTGATGAAGTGAGCTGTAGCTCACGAAAGCTCATGCTCAGATAAATTGGTTAGTCTCTAAGGTGCCACAAGTCCTCCTTTTCTTTTTGCGAATACAGACTAACACGGCTGTTACTCTAAAAGTTCTAAGACTCCATTCCTGGTCTATCCCTGGCAAAGACAGAATATAGACAGACACACAGACCCTTTGTTTCTCTCCCTCCTCCCAGCTTTTTAAAATATCTTGTCTCCTCATTGGTCATTTTGGTCAGGTGCCAGCGAGGTTACCTTTAGCTTCTTAATCCTTTACAGGTGAGAGGAGCTTTCCCCTGGCCAGGAGGGATTTTAAAGGAGTTTACCCTTCACTTTATATTTATGACAGGCCCACTACAGTGGCTACCTAACCTGGCTCGTGTTTCCTGCTGGTGCCTATGAATATTTCCCACACCATGTTGTGTAGGAAATATGGACACATGGAGCACCATGAAATATGGAATGGGCAGTATCTGGGTCAGTTCTTCAAAATTCATTTCTCTGAATAATGAAAATAATATTTTTCAGTGTGTGAAGAAGAGCACCCAATCTGCTTCACCCACGAGAACAGCCCCCAGTAGTGCATGTAGTGTCTCATATTCACATTGTCTCTCCATCCAGGAATTACCCTAGAGCCTGGGCACATACAGGAAGTCAGGGGAACGTACGGTACAAGAAGGAGACACTGTTCTGGCTCAGAGTTGGACACCTTCCCCCCTACTCCATGTCAGATTCCAACACAACCGACTTCACCAACCCCTCCACCTTCATCCTGCTGGGCATTCCTGGCCTGGAGGCAGGTCATGTCTGGATCTCCATCCCCTTCTGCACCATTTACGCCATAGCCATCTTGGGGAACTTCACCATCCTCTTTATTGTCAAGATGGAGCCGAGCCTCCATGAGCCCATGTACTATTTCCTCTGTATGCTGGCCATCACCGACCTTTTAATGTCTACGCCCACCATTCCCAAAATGCTGAATATCTTCTGGTTCAATTCCAGGGAGATCGATTTCAGTGCCTGCCTCACCCAGATGTACTTCATTCAGTGCTTCTCAATGATGGCATCTGGGATCCTTGTGGCCATGGCCTTGGATCGCTACGTGGCCATCTGTGATCCCCTGAGACATTCCACCATCTTCAGAAACTCTGTGGTGGCCAAGATCGGCCTGGTCGTGGTTCTGCGTGCTGGCATGCTCCCAATACCCAATCCCATTCTGGCAAGTCGGTGGCCATATTGCAGAACCAACATCATCCCCCAGACGTACTGTGAGCACATAGCTGTGGTGAAGCTGGCCTGCTCTGACATCCGCATCAGTAGTTACTACGGCCTCTTTTTGGCATTCTTGGTAAGTGGTGTGGATATATTTTTGATCACAGTGTCCTATATCCACATCCTCAGGGCCATCTTCAGTCTACCCACAAAGGATGCCCGACTCAAGGTTTTTAGGACCTGTGGCTCCCACCTCTTTGTCTTCTTAGTCTTTTTCATCCCATCTTTTTTCTCCATCCTCATGCACCGGTTTGGCCAGAATGTCCCCCTGCACTTCCACATTCTCATTGCTAACATGTACCTCCTGGTGCCCCCGATGCTGAACCCCATCATCTACGGGGTGAGCATCAAACAGATCCGGAACAGGCTGTTCCAACTCTTCACTCATAAAGGGACCTAAGTTTTCTCCACGTGCTCTGACTCTCAGACTGAGCTCCGTGCAGAGCTGGCTGGTGCATGGTGCTGCATCCTCTTCCCTGAATCACTGACTGGACAGTCAAAGAGACCTAAACCTTTTCCTGATCACAGTGTGCAGTGTCAGCGTGAGAACATGGGGAATTGGTCTATGTAGAACTCATTTGGTTGCCTTCTTTCTAATTGCTGGTAATGGACCCCCAAAATTCCACACCGTACCCTACCTCTTCTGTCAAGTCTCTGCCCCGCTCCTCCTCTTTCTGTTATGTCTTGCTTCTCTACTCCCTACCCCCATCACACACTGTATCATTTTCACCTTCCTTACCCACCCTCAGTTGCAAGGGAATCGTTTCAGATTTTGGTCGGGGTGAGCAACATAACTGTGATTCCCAGGGCTACCTAGGCTCTTGAAAACTCTAGTTTTTTCTCAGCTAACTTTGCAAAATTTGTGGCAGGAGCACTGTATCTAATTCTAATATAAAAGACAGAAAATTAAACAAATATTAGACCCACTCCACTAACATGTTTTGACATCTGGTGGCCAGTCACATAAGGGACACTAGTTAGGTTTAAAATTTATATATATATAGACTATTGTTTAAACAACGAGGAGTCCTTCTGGCACCTTGGAGATGAACAAATTTATTTGGGCATAAGCTTTCATGGGCTAGAATCCACTTGAAGTGGGTACTAGCCCACGAAAGCTTATGTCCAAATAAATTTCTTCCTCTCTAAGGTGCCACAAGGACTTCTCATTGTTTTTGCTGACACAGACTAACAGGGCTAGCCCTCTGAATACTATTGTTTATTACCAGTCTGTCCCTCCCTCAATGCACCAGCCCCTTTTCATGAGCAGATTTCCCTTTACACTTCAAATAATGCACTATTTTAGGAAAAAATACAAACCACATTTGTTAACTACAGAAAGGGAGCTCTTAAGTGGTTATAAGTAATAAATGTAGAGATCAATGTAGATTCCCTGAGAAATAAAACAAAATCACAATCTGAGTCCTATAAAGTAGACAGGATTTGAGTCAAGCCATGTCTCACCCTAAGGGTACCAACAGTTTCCCAATCCTCCATATACAGGCTGGGATTTCTCCTTTCCCGCCGGCGACTACCTGCCCAGTCAGTGTTTCATAGCGTCTGCCCTGTGGACGGATCTTAATTTTTCCAAGCAAAAGCCCACAGTACAGTTAGTGGGAAAGTTCAGACACAAGAGGGAGTCCAGTTTTACATGAGCTGGTCATATGTCCTTCATGCTTTGATGTGTCTTAGTAGGGACCGTTATCCATATTCTGGCTAGAACATCCACAGGAAATTCCATCAGAGGTACAGAAACAGACAACAGAAATCATTAGGGGCATGGAACGGCTTCCATAATACACACTCTAAAGATTGGGCAACACGGGGCAGTCTTCACCCTAAGCCTGTCAGCCCCAGCCCTACCCTCTGCATCCCCCTGCACGCTAATCCTTTCCCCCAGCCCTGAGTCCCTTCCTGGTCCCTCAACCCCTCATCCCTGGTCCCACCCCAGAGACAGCACCTCTAGCCTAAGTTCCTTGTACCCCCACACCCCAACCCTCTGCCCCAGCTCTGAACCCCCTCCACACTCCAAACCACTCGGCCCCACCCCTGCCACACATCACCCCCATATTGGTCCACATACCAAAATTAATTCCACCCAGGGACTTAAAAAATGAGAGGGAACACTTGTCACCCAATGAAATTAACAGGCAGCAGATTTAAAACAAACAAACACAAGTTTTTCTTCACACCCAACCTGTGTAACTCTTTGCCAGGGGATGTTGCGAAGGACAAAACTATACCAGGATTCCAATAAAACTAGATAAATTCAAGGAGGATGGGTCCATCAATGGCTATTAAGCCATGGTAGGCAGGGATCCAAAACCATGTTCTGTGTGGCCCTAGCCTCTGTCTACCAGACCCTGGCAATGGGCAACAGGGGATGGGTCACTTGAGGATTCCCTGTTCTGTTCATTCCCTACCTGGGGCACCTGGCCCTGGTCACTGTTGAAGACAGGACACTGGGCTAGATGGACCAATAGCCATTCTTAGGTTCTGATGTTTTTATATAGACTACAGATGCATCTGCCCCCCACTGTAACCCACGAGATCCCACTCCCCTCCCAGAGCTGAGATGGAACCCAGGACTGGCTCTCTCTCTCTCTCTCTGTAGAGTTAGTAGGAAACTAAGAATACATATTAAAATGTTTAAATTTACTCCTAACCAGTGTCCCTTATGTGAGTTGCCATAACATGTAAGAGCTGAATGAGTCTAATATTTATTTATTTATTTTTCTTATATTGGGGAATTAGATATAGTTTTCAAATGTCTAAGCAGCCCCTCTCCTGTCCCGGCCCAGCCCCGCCCAGCCCAGCGAGAGCCTGCCATAGTAGCTGAGAGGCGTCCTGCCCATTGCCCAGTGCCTCTTCCCCGGCCCCAAGCTGCTGTGGCAAGAGAGGGCTGGGGGGAATCCTGTCTCCCCGCTGCAGCCCTGGGCAGCCTGAACCCCAAGGCCCTCATCAACGGCCCTTCCTCAGAGTCCGCACCCTCAGCCAGAGCCCTCACCCCTTGTAACAAGGGGTGCTCTTGGGAGGCACACTGAGAGTATCAATGCAAGAGAAATTTCTTAGAGCAGGGCAGTCACAGCCCAAGGCTTGGGTTCCTTCACTACTAAGGCACCAAATCAGCCAAACAGAGAGGTCTTTGGTTTCACCCAACTGGCTAACCAGAAGTCGTAGACTCATAAAATGAGAGAATATCAGGGTTGGAAGGGACCTTGTTAGAGAGCTTATTCCTTCACTCTCCCACTTCTCTCGTCTTTCTCGCATGAACAGAGAGCAACAATACCCGAAGTCCAAAGGTGCAAACAATTCGATGTTTATTGGGGTGAACTTCCAGCAAGCTTAAATCCAAGTTCCTTTTTCCTTATTTTCGAATCCCAACTTACTTCTGTTTGCCCCTAATTTATATGGTAATATTCTTAGCTATACCTTCACCAATCATTCTACTGAAATTTACCTAACCAATCCTAACATAGTGTAACATGATTATGTAACCAATTATATCCCACCACCTTAATGAGTTTACTCCCAGCAAAATTAATTATACAGCAGACAGAAACAATCCCAGAACCAGACAGAGACCATGCCAATAAACAATAGCAAAGTGGGAACTATAATGACAAAACAATACAGAAGTGAGGATTTCACAACGACATCTATAAAAACGTAAGTATTTCCCAGCTGTGTCTATTGATAAGTGAGTTCTTACCAGACAGAAAACTATCAACCTAAATGTCCTTTTACATCTTCTAGGCTCTTCCCTTTCTCTGGAGGTGATAGATTGGATCCCCTTCCTAACAGCCCCAGATTGACTAGTTTGGAATGAGAGGAGGTGACCGGTCGCCTCCCAGCTTACGGCTGCCTCTGCTGCTTAGCCAAAGGCCTTAGCCTAAGAACAGGGCCTCAGACTGTCACAGGGAGAGAAGGCCCTTACACAGATTCTTTCTTGTATACCTCTATTACTAGCTAAATGATAAACATACACCTACATTCTTAGAGTCTAGGCCTTTACAGGCAGGCCTGAATATCTATATCCTAATAGACTCAGGAGGTCATGTAGTTGAACCCGCTGCTCAAAGCGGGACCAATCCCCAAATAAATCATCCCAGCCAGGGCTTTGTCAAGTCTGACCTTAAAAACCTCTCAGGAAGGAGATTCTACCACCTCCCTAGGTAACGCATTCCAGTGCTTCACCACCCTCCTAGTGAAAAAGGTTTTCCTAATATCCAATCTAAACCTCCCCCACTGCAACTTGAGACCATTACTCCTCGTTCTGTCATCTGCTACCATTGAGAACAGTCTAGAGCCATCCTCTTTGGAACCCCCTTTCAGGTAGTTGAAAGCAGCTATCAAATCCCCCCTCATTCTTCTCTTCTGCAGGCTAAACAATCCCAGCTCCCTCAGCCTCTCCTCATAAGTCATGTGTTCCAGTCCCCTAATCATTTTTGTTGCCCTTCGCTGGACGTTCTCCAATTTTTCCACATCCTTCTTGTAGTGTGGGGCCCAAAACTGGACACAGTACTCCAGATGAGGCCTCACCAATGTCGAACAGAGGGGAACGATCACATCCCTCGATCTGCTGGCAATGCCCCTACTTATACAGCCCAAAATCCCTTTGGCCTTCTTGGCAACAAGGGCACACTGTTGACTCATATCCAGCTTCTCGTCCACTGTCACCCCTAGGTCCTTCTCTGCAGAACTGCTGCCTAGCCATTCGGTCCCTAGTCTGTAGAGGTGCATGGGATTCTTCCATCCTAAGTGCAGGACTCTGCACTTGTCCTTGTTGAACCTCATTGGATTTCTTTTGGCCCAATGCTCCAATTTGTCTAGGGCCCTCTGTATCCTATCCCTACCCTCCAGTGTATCATATCCCCCCTTAGTCGCCTCTTTTCCAAGCTGAAAAGTCCCAGTCTTATTAAACTCTCCTCATATGGAAGCTGTTCCATCCCCCTAATTATTTTCATTGCCCTTTTTTGAACCTTTTCCAATTCCAATAAATCTTTTTTGAGATGGGGCGACCACATTTGCGCGCAGTATTCAAGATGTAGGTGTACCAGGGATTTCTAGAGAGTCAATCTGATATTTTCCGCCTTATTTTCTCTCCCTTTCCTTGTACTCAGTGATTCCCAATAGTCTGTTCGCTTCTTTGACAGCCGCTGCCCATTGAGTGGATGTTTTCAGAGAACTAACCACCATGACCCTTGGATCCCTGCCTTTTACCCTGCTTCTCCCCCCAAGGCCATGTCCCTGGTACACATCTTCCCTCAAGACCACAGCCCCTGCTCCACCTCCTGCCTCTTTGCCCCACTCCCTTTCTGCCTCTTGCCCCAAATGCCCACTGCTGCTGCTTGTTAGGATATAGATATTCAGGCCTGTCTATAAAGGCCTATACTCTAA